ATAAACCTCAATATCTAGACATGTTCTAATTAGGAAGTGATCCATCTTTTGATCATATATTTTCTTTTGATTATATATATTTCCATAATAAACAGACAAGCAAAATAGGAAGGTTATGACATGCAAGGAAAGACATTTTATGTATTTTTAGTGGACAACGTGATACTTGGGCGAATAAAAACTGTTCTGTCTACACTCTTTGTAAAAACAAGTGTTTAATCACCTTTCATGAGGGTCGAGGAGAAGATTTTTTTTTACATGCTGGATCGAAAAAGTGCTCAGTTCCGGGCCTTCTAATTTAACACTTTTTTTGTTATAATGCAAGGGCATAAAGAATGTGAATCTTAAGATTTGTGTATGTATTTAAAACTACCTTAGGTAGTTGGTGACAGTGTTTCGGTTAGACGTTATGATTTCGTTAGCCTGTTAGAAATTACGAATGGTTTGATTTTGTATCAATAATTATTTCTTGTTTCTATATTCTATATCATTTTGTATGCGTATAATCTTTCTTTTACTAATTGTATTAATGTTTTGATAGATTTCACGAAGTTTTACTGATAAACCCTTCGCTACGTATATCTCTAATTGAATGAAACCTGACACTGGGTCCAAAATCATTTTTAACAGAGGACAACTTAGACCACCCACTAACTTCCTTTGTTGAACCTGCTTTTGAACAAAAGTTTTTTTTATCCCCAGAGACAGGTTTAAATTTGATTAGAACACGGGCCTTTGCATTCATGTACATTTTCATAACATGCACATAAAGAATATTTACTTGAACTGTACAAATATATTGCTAATATGTTGTAAATAAACCCATTTACAAAAATTTACGACGAACTCGTTTTTTAAGAACTTTCTTTCGTGTACACCTAGTTCTCTTTCTCTCAACCTTTTGTCCTTCGTAGCTCACATCGGTGAATAATTAATGTGTTGCTTATCTTAGATATAAGCTTGAGTTCTGGTTATGATAGAAAATAAATTCTCACCGAATCCAACAAAACTTACACTGAATGTACAAGATTACAAATAAATGACATGTGCCTAACAATTTTGGTAGAAAATGTATAGGGCTGAGTAATGAACATAGAAAGATAAGGAAATCAACTCATTGTTATTTGCACTGGTTCCTATAGGAAAGTTATTTATTCAGATGGTCATATTTCAACCAATACTTAACATATTCAATTGGTTTCGACATTTGGACATTATTTTTGATGCTCTTTCGGAAAATGAAGACAAAATTGAGAAATTCTCAAAATTGTTTTTTATGATGTCACAGCTTCGGTACTCTATACAGTAAGTTGTGATCTATCTTTTTCTTTATTACATATAGTTGTTATTATTTTCAGATTATACTGCCTAAGTAGTAGTAGTAAATGCAAAACAATTTCATAATAATTTCTAAACAATTACCAGCTATGAGATTCTATTATTTATAATTTCGGCATGAATGAACCTTAAATCAAAGACTTCAGATATGACATTGCAAGGATAGAAAGCATTCGCTCAGACAGATTTGTATAATGTCGAAAGAAAGAATACATAACATCAAAGTCTAGATGCTAATTAGTTTAGCCACCGTCAGACGTAACACCTGTTTTACCTTGTAGTGTTGACAACGGATGCATCGGTGATATTCTCAAATTAACCTCAGAGAAAGCGTTGAAACAACAATGCCTGTACCTTACTTTTAAAAGGTTTTTTTTTTTAAATAAGTTTTTTCATTTGTTGATTGCAAAATGTATTTATTCTAACAAATACTTCATTTAATCCATATGAGATAAATGATGATAACATTTGTCATTTCGTGAACAAGTTGATTTCCATACTATCGACCAGTATGCTCACTTGATAACCAAGCTTACATCTATACTCACCATGTTACACGCACACTATTAGCTGGTTCAAGTCAATGTAATTTGAAATAAGATCACAAAGTTTACTATTATGTCGTTTGAATATTGCTATATATAGCTTAACATTGCGAAGTAACTTTGTCCCGCAATGTCTTAAATAAATACAATAATGTAAACAATGAAACAATTTAGGAGCGCGTAAGCAACTGGGAAGGGAAGAAATAGAGAGAGAGAGGGAGAATATTTAAACGTCTTTGGGGAGAATACAGTACACAATCATACACGCACACACCCACATGCGCGCACACATCACACTCATACTGAGACAGACAGGGCGTAAAAGAAATGTGTAAAGACAAATATTGGTAAGGACATATATGATTGAGAGAGAGGGAAAGAGCGAGAGAGAAAGAGAGAGAGAGAGAGAGAGAGAGAGAGAGAAAAGGACGGGTTAGAAAGAGAGAGGAGAGAATGAAAATGGAACTTTTGAATAAAGTATCAGTATAGGAAATAAATACAGATCGGATTAAGGGGGTAGGATAGCATTCAAAATATAGTGACCCCTGTTCCAAACACATTTTGTTTTCGTCTCTCAACCATGGCGTATAAATCAGACATAAGAAATATGAGCAAGTGTTGCTTCACAAAAAGCGAATTCTTTTCAATAGATACGAAATTAATTAAATCCAATCCGTTGTAAATAATTATGGAGATGAAATTTCGCTGTCCATACGGGCTTACACATGACCGTGTGGTTCGAAAGTCGGAAATAAATTTCTGTGTAGACGCACCAATGGAGAGATGACCTTTGTGTAATAAACAGGCATTCAAGTCAGACTTTGATTTCATTAAGGGATTTACATCTAGTCTGGGCTGCCATGTGAACTCAACTCTACAAGTGATGATTCAACGTGACTTATACAGACTTCACAACAATGATGCCTCGACACAGACCTCGCTCTCACTCATTGCCAATAGTCCAATCAAATTTCCCTCAGTGCCGAAAGAATGAACATAACAGCATGCCTCATCGTCTGTCTGTCTGTCTGAACAGGTGCTATATCAATTGCATAGTAATTGTATGAGGATATAGGGACCATTTCACACTTGAATTCTAACACGATCCTCAATATCCAAATATCCTCTTCCAAACAAATAATGGTATTTCAATCAAGACATTAGTAGGTGTAACCTGTATTATATCAGATAAAGCCTTGCCATATATTCATTTCAATATTATCCTCCATATTTTCTATTTGTTCATTTGTTCACTTCCCTACCCATGGGTGTCGATCCCGGGGGGGGGGGGGGGGATGGGGGGATATATCCCCCCCCCCAATATTTCAGGTGGGGGGATGGCCTGTACAACCATCCCCCCCCCCCCCCCCCCAATAATTCACCATAAAAATATTAAAAAATGAAGAGAAAAATTAATGAGAGCCCGATGAGAATAGTTAATGGTTATTATTCGCAAGATGACCATCAATATACACATTTTGCTATCTCATTTTCATAATACATAATTATGTTTTGTATAGTCACTAATGGGCCTAATTAGTGGCCGTTAACACTAACAGTAGTATACAATTCCTTTCCAGAAGCTATTGCGACAAGCATTGCCGGGAGATAACATGCTACCCACCACTCGGGCTGTGCATGCGAAGATTTGAGAACGAAGGTTCCATACGTACATCATGTGGGGAAACTGAATTCAGACAAGGATTAATATAGAGAACAGTACAACGAATCGTTTTCTTTCTCTAATAATTAAGTAAAACGGCAAAGCTTCCGCGCTTTGCGCGGGAGGGGGGCAACTGAATTCAGACTAGGATTAAGAGTTATAATTAAATGAAAAGTAAAAGTACACGATACAACGAATCGTCTTCTTTTTCTAATAATTTAATGAAACGTGGAAGCTTCCGCGCTTCGCACGGGATGGGCGAATATGATTTCAGGCGTGGATTAAGAGTAATAATCAAATTAAACGTCAAAGCTTCCGCGCTTTGCGCGGGAGGGAGGAAACTGAATTCACACAAGGACACGATACAACGAATCGTCTTCCTTCTCTAATAATTCGTCGCTGTTTTCACGAAGTGACGGTAGTGAAAAAAAATTGCATTCACTTTGCGTTACGATTTTCCTCACTACCGTCACTTCGTGTAAACAAGGACGAATTTAATGAAACGTGAAAGCTTCCGCGCTACGTGCGGGAGATGGGCGAAAATGATTTCAGACGTGGATTAAGAGTAAAAATCAAATGAAATGTCAAAGCTTCCCCGCTTCGCGAGGGAGGAGGGGGGGGGTAAACTGAATTCAGTCAATAATTAAGAGTCGAGAAAGGTACATCGAATCGTCTTCTTGAATTCTTTAATGATCTAATGAAACGTCAGAGCTTTTCCGCGCTACGCCCGGAGGAAGGGGAACTTGATTCAAATTCAGACAAGGATTAAGAGTCGAGAATGGTAGATCGTATCGTCTTCTTTCTTTAATAATCTAATGAAACGTCAAAGCTTCCGCGCTACGCGCGGAGGGAGGGGAACCTGATTCAAACATTAAGGATTAAGAGTCGAGAATGGTAGATCGTATCGTCTTCTTTCTTTAATAATCTAATAAAACGTCAGAGCTTTTCCGCGCTACGCCCAGAGGAAGGGGATTCAAACAAGGATTAAGAGTCGAGAACGGTCCAACGAATCGTCTTCTTTCTCTAATAATTTAATGAAACGTCAAAGCTTCCGTGCTTCGCGTGGGAAGGGGGAAACTCCTCCCTCCCTGCACCCAAACCCCTAGGGAGCGCGCTTCGCGTGCTCACTACCCCCCCCCCCCCCCTAAAATGAAATCCTGGCTACGCGCTTGGGGATGGGGTGCAACCTGCCACACGGTTCTATCTCTTGGTTGCTTGATCCATTGCCGAAAATATTTTGGCACCTATCATCCCCCCCCCCCCCCCCCCCCAACATCTGATACAAATCGACACCCTTGTCCCTACCCTATTGGGTGTATCTTAACGCAATTATTCAATGTAAAGGACTGAATGAGTGTAATTCAACTCAATCTCAATTGATTTTATCCATTCAGGGCACCAATACAATCAGACATTGGCTCTTTTACACTAAATATCATGACGCTCACACACAGTTTTTTCTTTTTACATCGTTTATTTTTAATCAAATTTCTGATAGTTTTGTTCACTATAAACAGGTACACTGTGTATATATTTGTAGATAGTGGAATTTGTAACTAGAACATTACAGATAAAACCAAAAAAAGAATGGCAACGATCGTCACAATTTACACATGTTTATCCACATTCATAAATTACAGTGGTAAACAACGTATCAAAATAATTATTATATTTATTGATGGCTTCACTTTCACAAAGAGTGGGGCACTTAATAAACAATGAGTGATGTCTATACATCGCCAAATAGGTATAATTCATAACAATTACACAAAGTTTGAAGATAAGCCAGTTCGTAAATGATATTTGCGCAGGGGCAGATAAAGGTCATTTGCTCCCAAATTTGTAAAACCCATCGAGACGAATACTGGTATCGTGCTCATGAAAGTTTTGTACTCAATATTTATTTATGTACCGACAGTACATTTATCTGATACACAGGTGGAACTATTTTTCTCAAGAGGCAAACAAAAGGTATTCATGAAGCACCTCCATCACTTCGGCAGTGATTATTCTAAAATGCCCAAGTGGGACGTATCCATCGTGTAAAAGATCTGAGGATATTTTCGGGTCATGCGTTTCGAAGCTATTTACAAACTGGCTTATTATTGAACATCACTACGATTATCAGTACTCTACAAACAAAGTTCATGATGAACATACAAATTAGTGCCAAGAGAGGGCGTAGTACTAACTATTGCATGAGTGAGTTACATTCAGGAACTTATTAGTATTCCATCAAATATAAATATTCGTCTGGGAACCTGTCCAGAAAGTTTTATCCAATCAAGCACATAAACTTACTATTTTAGACATCTTAGTCTCTGATAATTGTTCATTACTTAATCATTATTAATTAAATTGTCGTCAGCCTACCGTCGCCGTTAGCGTTGGCCCTCAGCAACCGGCAGGTGCACTCGCTAAAAAGGCTCCCAAGTCTAGTCGGTTTTACACCATTTAGCCCATTTAACCTTACCTTTTCCCAAAACAAATAATTGTTTTTATATTTCAATTTTATTGACAAAATATTCTGTCCATCATCATTCTTTGACAAGTAATATTAGCCGAGCTTGCGTGGCATCAAGTTTAAGTTCAAGTTTTATTTCCACATCTGATTTAAAAACAAAACAAATACAATTGATATGCATATATACAATAACAAACGCTAAAATGAAACATCTTCAATTGAAATCATAATGTGTTGGAAAAAAAAGGGGCCAATGGCCTATCGAGGTTATTCCCAAAGATAATAATATTTACATAAAGAGTTTCTTAAATATACAATAAACAAGATAGAAATACAGAGATTAAAATGACACAAAAACATCAACATTTAGAATTGAACCAAACAAATCAATTACAAAAAGAAAAAAGGGAAGGGCATTTATGTACAAAATAATCTTAGTTATATTCACATACAAGATATTTCTTAAGCTTTCTTTTGTAAATTGACACTGTTGGACATATTTGAAGTTCTTGAGGCAATTTATTCCATAATTTGGGTCCGGCATAAATGATTGTTGTTCTTGAGATGTCATGAGTACACAGTGGTAGCTGGAAAAGATTTGATTGACGAGTTTCATAATTAGCCCATCTCTATTACATATAAAACAATCATCTTGAAATTTTGGAAGTATATTTTTGGAGTAAGACAACATAAAGATACCAATCTGTTGCTCTTATGTATATCATATATTGTTAATATACTATGTTTTTTTAATACAGGAGCAGTGTGGGAGAAAGAATGTAAGTTAAATATAATTTGTATTGCACGTTTGTGAAGAATTAAAATTCGATTTAAATGAGTTTTAGCACAATCTCCCCACACTATATTACAGTAACTAAGATAAGATATAAACATGGTGTTATACAGATTAAGAAGAATATTAAAAGGTACAAATTTTTTTAATTCTGTTTATTGCACCAACAGCTTTAGATATTTGACACGATACATGATGTACATGTTTTTTCCAAGTCAGTTTTATGTCAATTCTTACTCCTTAAACAGTTGTAGAATTTACTATAGATATATTTTGTTGGTTGATACTTATTTCTATACAGGATGTATTAATATTGTTGTTTTCTGGCTGAAATCACATACAGCACGTTTTTTGTGCATTCAATTTTAATTTATTTGCTTTAAACCATGTATCAATTCTTTAAAGTTCCGTATTTATAGTAGAACACAATGAGTGATTTCAAGTTGAGTGTTTAGGGCTGGTGTTAGTGTTAAATAAACACGAACACTCGCCCTAAACACCGAAATGGAAATCAGCTTGTGTTAAGGCTTTGACCTCTGAATATCGGCAACTTCAGGTAGCTAGTGTTATCGATTTTGCAAAACGTTGTGAAATAAAGTCTGTGTGGCAAAGTCACAGTGCCCACAGTGGTGTTAAGCTATCGATATTGATATCGGTATCGAGCTCTACAGTATTTCATCAGCAATTTTTTTGCTCTATTTAAGAGCTCTTGACTGCTCTTAACACTAACTCTAACACTAACACCCAACATGAAATCACTCAATGTAGGCCTATCAATATTTTTACCAGACAAAAATAAACTTGTATCATCTGTAAAAATTATCGACTGTAAGATATCATCATTAATAAACAACAAAAATAATAACGGACCTAATACTGATCCCTGAAGGACATCAAATGGGTTGTGTGCAATTTTAGAAGAAAAATTATTTACACATACATATTGCACTCTATTGTTTAAATAACTGGAAAACCACTTAAGTATAGTACCCTGAATATTATAAAATTACAATTGTTAAAAATTATATTTGATGACTTAAACAATCGAATGCCTTGGTAAGAACTAAGAATATACCAATAACAACTTGTTTATCTTCAAATAATTTAGCAATAATATTCGTAAAATCCAAAAGAGCCATATTATGTACCGTAATTTCTTCTAAACCCATACTGTTTATGGTATACTATATCTCTTTTACATAAGAAGGAAAATAGATGACTACAAACTACTTTTTTCAAAGATTTTGAGAAAGTAGATAAAATTAATATTGGTCCATGATTATCTAAAATATGTTTATCTCCTGTTTTGTATACAGGAATCACCTTCGCCTTCTTGAAGGCAGTTGGAAGACACCAACTTGTAAAGACATATTGAATACATTACAAAGCGATATAACAAATGTAGCAATAAATTTCTTTAGATCGGCAATTTTAACATCATCGTATCCTGGTGTTTTACATGATTCAAGTTTTTTTTTAACAATTTCAAATATTCCAGGAATATCAACTGAGGCATCAGGTATATTATTTACAGTGTCCCTACCAATCGTGCTAAACAAATTATTAAATGCTTCGACAATGGCCTGTTTATAATGTATCTGTCTACCATTTTTTTCCCAACTTAAATATCATTTATGATTTTCGAAGCCTTAATATTACTTTTGACACGTTTAAATCCAGAAAATTATATTCTCTTTTACATTTTCGTATCTCACTGTTTACTACATTTCTGTAACACGGGTATACATTATTCCGATAAGAAGATGGATTCTGATGTATTTCCGAAATAACAGATTTTTCTGAAACTTTCTAGCCGAGATTTACCATCCGTATGGAGCATACTTGTTTGGGGGATCTCCCCCATTTCACCTCTTAACTACTGAGATAAAACTGGAGGGCGTCTCGCTGGTTTCATGTTTGATGGGATCATAGGCACAGGTGGTTCCTCCAGGGGTGCAAGCTTACCCTCCAATGCGAGCTTGTCATATACCTCCCTAAAACAAAATTAAAGTTTTCAAAAAAAAATCCGAATGTTAGTTTATATTGTTTATTTACTTGTGTTAAAGATTTTTTTAAAGCAATTACTTCACATATTTTCATGAATATAGAATTCAAATAAATCGAATACTATATTCCCTGTTTAGAACATCAGTTTCATTTACTGAACATACCACTAGCTTTAGGTATAGGATGTGCCAGAATCTGGTCTAGCATATCCCCTCCGCCCAAAAATAAAGCATTGGTTGCTCTCAATGCCATACTTTCGATGTCTCAAGGATATTGAAGTTTCACGATTTTCGAGTCCCCTCCCCCTCCCCATAAAATCATGTATTGGCCTTTGAATGTCACTTTAAAAAGAAAAAAAAGTCGTGTACTTACGCAAGTTTGACAGCCATTGAGTCGAAAGTATCGGGTACAATAGCGCCAGCTTGTGCCAGAGCTTGGTTCTTGACCATCGCACTTTCTCGCTCACTGTCCGTTCCTCCTCCAGAATGGCCGAAATACGCAGGCTGAAGAAAAAGAAAAAGGAAAGAAAAAATTGACCAATAGATTGTGTGATAATTATTTAGAATTTGCTTTTGTTGCAAGTCCTATATATATATATATATTCTGAGAAATCTCTTTAAAAATCTCTCCTATGAAGCTATTTAACATTTCATGGTTGTATTCATGAATTTTGTTTTGGGTGAATTTGGACACATTTCTCTTTAATCATGTTTACATTAACCTACATGACAGGTGAAAATTAAATCATATTTAGCCCACTGGCGTTTGACTATTTTTAGCCAGAATTGAATTATTTATCTGTATAATCTCAAAACCATTACATTGACAAGCTTATGTGAGTATCGTTATACGAATGACATTGATTTTATTTTCACTCGAATTAACGTAATAATCCCAAACTCTTAACATCATACCCTCTTATTGTAAGACAAACAGCTAGCAACATTTTGTAATCGCTTACTCAAATCAAACCACGAAAAGACCTAACTATAGATAGAAAGTGATAAAGTGAGGCGAATTGGTTAATGAGAAAGAAAAAGTGTGTTACATACTTTATTTCTGTATTACTGTATTACATACTGTATTACGAGCGAACTCTAACTTTCATCTAAGATTTTAAGTACAAGGGCAGCCAAATAAAAACAGGAAATTCCCTTTCATTACCTCTTGTTTGTATAGATCTGTACATGTTCCGATGCAGAACGCAATGACAGGTTTTGTGATGGTTCCTTTCTTCAGAGCTTCACATACTTCATACTCCTCTAATCCACCAACCTGTCAATATACAAAAAGAGGAAGTAGCATCAAAGGCCTCTCAAACAAAGCTTGTGGTAAAATACAACTCAAATTTTACTGAGTTCTTTAACCCAAAAAACTGACTGACGCTCAATCCTATAGAAAAAAAAAGAGATACAAACATTAATCAAAATTATATTTTTTTAAATTATTTTTAATCCACTGGCTATTGAGGAGAACTTCTTTGGGAAGATCTAGTTTCCTTCCTCGGGCACTAGTCGCTAGCACATCTTACTTAATACTTTGTCTCAACTTTGCCCAGTTATTTTATAAATAGATAGATAGGTAGATAGTTGGAGAGATAGATACATACATAAATGCATAAATGATTAATGAACAAATAAATAACTGAATAAAAAAATAATTTAATAGATATATAAATGTGGAATGTTTCTTTTAGAGAAAGCTCAGAATTGATTTAGGGTTTCAGCGAGACCTACCTCTCCGATAAGTATGAAGCATTTGACGGCGTGGTTGTCCTGAAGAAACCTGATATGATCCATGATCCCCGAACCTGTGTACCTGAATAAAAAAAAATAAAAAAAATCATTATACAGTTTTAAAGCCCCACTGCACTACTTATAGCTACTTGCGCCCTCTTTTTTTTTTTTGGATTGGATATAGCAAAAAATGCTTAAACAGTACCCGTTCATCCCCCATGATGCCCTTTGTCTTATGTTAATTGAGAGCTGATTTGATGAGATAACCACCTGCCAGTTACCTTGCAGGGAAGTCTAATCCCTCCATGCCAAATTAGTGCCAAACAAGTAGTAAAAAACTGCGGGTTAAAAAATTGTTGATTAAAATTTGCTTAACCATGGTTAAAAATGTAGTGTTGATTAAAATTTACTTTTAATCTTACGTTAGTTAAAAACAGTGTTGATCAAAACTATTTCTTTTAAACTATGTTGGTTAAGAGTAAGTCGTTGGCGAACATTGTAGCCCAGTAGGATTAAAAACAAATTACCACAGTAATGAAAGCCCCCTCCCGGTTAACGTTTAATCAATGTTGATTAAAGTACAGGTCACGTGACCCAACGGAACGATCGAAGCGCGTAGCTAGAGCGCGATCGCTCGACACATTACACGTACACAGTACGAAAGATAAAAACAGACATGTAGGCATTCCTGTCATCAGATCTGCATGTAAATGGATGCTCAAAAACATTATAGTGTCATTGTTGTGCAAGTGTCGACGAACTTTAAAATGCTGAACAACTCTAACAAGGGCAAGGCAAACCCTAAATATTCAAAACATGTGAATAGCTAGGACACATTAAAATATTTTCTGTCCTATTAGGCCTACTTAGACATCCGCTTCTATATTTCCTGCTGTTTAGTCTTCTTTAATCTATACCAGTACCAGTCGATTTTATTTTATTTCATGAGTACTGTTTTATGTTATTTCATCATCATAAACTTTCCCTTATCCGCGAGATAAAAGGGCACGCTGGAGTAATTTCCAGGTGGAAGAAGTTCAAGTTTTATGTCCACATCTGTTTTTTTAAAACACAAATACAATTTATATGCATATATATATACAATAACAAACATTAGAATGAAACATCTTCAATTTAAATCCTAATGTGGTGGGGAAGAACAGAGGCCAATGGCCTATCAAGGTTATTCCCAAAGATAAAAACATTTACATAAAAAGTTACTTGAATATACTAAAATGAGATAGAAATACAAAGATTAAAATAACACAAAACTTCAATATATAGAATTAAACCAGACAAATCTATTACAAAAAAAGGCATTTATGTAAAAAAATAATCCTAGTTATACATTTTCATTTAAAAGGTATTTCTTAACCTTTCTTTAAAAAATTGACACTGTTTCAATACACTGATTACAGTTTATCTGCCTGGGAGACCAAATTTGGTTATTCAACCAACTTTGGTGTCAGCGAATTATGAGGTAACACAAAAGGAAACAGATGACTTTGTGGCTTTAATTCAAAAGGAAAAAGGTGACTAATAATACCTTCCTCCTCCCAGTGCTATGCCCATGTAGATTCCGTCCGAGTTCCTGGCAATGGAGACACACAACTCGGTGGAAAGTCCACCGGATCGAGAGAGATACACCACACTGCCCTGGCGGTAGAGCTTCAGCTCAACAAGATCGGGTAAAGGTCCGCCGATGTCACCGAAGAGATTACATCGGAACGAGCCTGGCTTGATGACGTTCACCTGTAGGCCGTGTTTGAACTGTGCAGACGAGAGAGAGAGAGAGAGAGGTTATATCAAAGAATAGCAGTGAATACAGACAGAATAAATCTTAAATGACATCCTCTTTCACATTATGAAAAAGTTTAAGTGAAATTTTGCCAACAATTTTGGGGGCTCCCAACACTTTAGTGGAGCTTTAACTGTACCGAGAGCAGTGGGGGTTTTGCCGAATAACAGTATATCACAGTATACCCCGGCCCCGGGCCCTGGAATTTATTTCTGTCATTATCAGCGGTATCATCGTGGCCAGTGGCGTACGCAGGATTCTTTCAAGGGGGTGTTATAAAATTTGAAAATCGCGCCGAAAATTTCACAACGACTCAGCCAGCCGCTGAATAAGCCGGGAGGAGCACATATTATTTATTTTTGTTGTCCCATAAATTATTTTTTTAATTTTTTTTAATCAAAAAGTAAATTGAGGGGGGGGGGGGTGGCCATCATCACCATCAGTTTCATCACTACCACCACCACACCATCATCATCACCAGTGTCACGAGTGTCACCACCTCCCCCCCCCCCCCTGCATTACCACTTTCGTCTAGTAATTTAATTTGAAAGCTAGTATTAGTTTTAAATAATTCTTGTGAATAAACCAGCCACCGCTACGTACCGATGACGGTCCTATCATGAGGACACGTTTCCTGCTGGCTAGGCCGATAAGCTCCCGGGTTTGTTGCTCGTTGATGTGACCCACCATCATCAAGATGCAGCGAATCTAAGTGAGGGTCAGAACAAATAATTATAATGAAATACAATCGTTATATTTTTGTCTTGCATTTTGTATTTTGTTTTATATCATCGAATATTGTAAATATGTGATTCTCATTTTTTGCCCTAATAAAACATACAAAGAAAAAGAAAAGAAAAAGGAAAGACGGAGAAGGAGAGACGAATAAGGAAAGGCGTACATTAATACAATGACGTTGCTTCAATGGACAGGGAGCACGTGCCGCCCCCTCCATATCGAGTGGAGAAAGATTTTTTTTTTAAAAGAAAGAAATAGTGAGAAGAGAGTAATTGAGAAAGTGAAAAGGAAGAGAAAAGAAGACACCTGGAACATCTCCCGCACCCCTCCCCCATCGTTCCAATGCTCCCCCTCTCAATCTATAGACTCACGCTACAGGGGGCGGCGACCTCAATATTTTTAGGGAGATCGTCCCCCTGGAAATTTGAAAAAGTGCAACAACAAAAAGTGTATAGCAAATACTGACTAAAGACTGCAACAAAATTTAGGCTATGGAGGGCCCAAGAGAGCTGCGTTTAGAAAGAAAAAAATCTTCTCGCTCCCTCGCATAATATCCTTCAAAGTGTACAAGTAGTGTAGAAAGGTGAAGTGTGAAAAAGTATATTGCTTGTTTTTATACTATAGTTTTGCTAAGGCATGTAATTTTTTAATGCCACAAAACTTCAAAATCCTGTGAGGGGATAGTCACTTCCGTCACCTTCACCCCTCTCGTTCACTATGCTCCCTCGCACTGGCTAATGATGGGGGGGCTGGGGGCAGTTACCCCCTGAAAAATTCAAACATTGTTTATTTCTGATTCGATACCACTGATTTACAAATGTTGCTGAAATGGTATGGTATTTCCCTGAGCTTCCGGGGGCTCTGCCCCCTGGACCCGACCAAGGGACCTCGGGAGGGCCCCTGAACCCCACTCCAATTAGTGACGTGCATGCCAGTGTCACAAATAAGGTATCAAAATATGCCCATCTGACCGTAATTAAATGCCTAAACCACAGAGCTTTCGGGGCTCTGCCCCCTGGACCCTATAAGGGGGCCCTAAGGCGGGCCCTAAGGCGGGCCCATGGATTCTCACCTAATCGTTATTAAACGCCTAAAACCCCTGAGCTTCATGGGACTACGCCCCTTGAACCCCGCCGGGTCTTTGCCCCTGGATCCTACACAAATGTACGTTCCGCTCGCTTTGCCCCACCTGATCGTTAATACATTAGACCCCCCCCCCTCCCCCCTCCCCCCCCCCCCCCCCCACACACACACACTTTGAAAAACGTTCCGCGAGGCCTGCACGTAACATGTAAGAGCGGGTACTTTCCTTTTCTTTCCTTTCTTTTTCTTTCTCTTCTTTTTCATTCGAGCTTAGCTACGCCACAATACATGACTAAGCAAATTCCCGGAAGCAAATGCCGTACTATTTAGTGGTACCCGCACATATCTACCATCCACTCTACCTTTACATTTATTTCATGATAAAATTGCAGGTAAAAAAAAAAACAGGCGCGTAGACGTCCATGTACATGGCACATGGATATCAATGGTAAAAGTACTGTACAACGGTTATAAACAGTGCGTGGTTGCGTGAGTCCTTCAGCCGAAAGTGGGGGGAAGTGAAAAGGTAGAGAGCAGGAAAAAGGAGTGGGAAAGAAGATAACAGGACCCCTCCCACAATCTTTTCCCTATTAATGGCCATGTTAGTTCGCAGTTAGTCAACGTAATGAGTCCTGACAGTAAGTGTGTGGTCCCCCCCCCCCCCCGCACTATGCCAGAGGTCCCTCAACGGCTAGAACCGGGCTATGCCACAGTTGCCCCTGGTATTGCGTGATTAGAAGTCTGAAATAGGAGTCCTATCAACGTTTCGTTCGCGTTTCAGGTATAGACCAGTATTGGAAACGCCCCCCTCTTAAAAAATGAAATGGAAACTTTTATTACCAATCATGTGACAGAATATGTTTTGACTAACACGCGATGATACAAATTTTTCCGCAAACCGCCTACTAAATGATATATTTGGTAAATTATCATATCGATCCTTCCTGGATAGATATCGCTAATGCACTTCAACATTGAACATTTGGGCATACATTTCTGTTTTTGCGAATTTAGGTTGAAGTATTGCCATCTAAACCTCTGAAGGCAATATTTAAACAATATTGAATGGATATTTTATACCCATGACCCTTGAACCGCATTTTTTTCCGTCAAGAATGAGTATGTTCAGGTAGTGTTTTAGCATATTTTGTAACGATTTAATAGTAACACTACATACTTGTGGCGTGCTGAGTGCATGAAGTGCGCATGTGTAACCAGCCGGGCCAATCGCCTGGTTGAGAACTACTGTGACGTCACAATGGTTGTTGACAGCATCGTATAGGCTAGCATACACTGAAGGGAATAAGTTGAAAGGAAAAAAAACGAGTGAGAGATAAAGAGGAGAGAAATGAAGGGGGAAAAAAGGTACGTCTATATGAAATAGTGAGTATGTAAACAAGACAGAGAAGAATATCATAAAGAAGAAGAAGAAGAAAATAAAATGAAGAGTATAAGGCTCCTTTTAACAACGAAATGCTTTCTTTTGATGTAAGTATACAAATGAACAGCGACATTTTGAAATTCGGGATGAAATGAGCACATTTGAAAATAGTCATGCAGATTATGCTGATAAAACGATTTTGACTGACTTGTATATTAAAGTGTGATATTTAACAAAACAAAATGATTTAATGATCTAATAACTCTAGAGAGTGAATAACTATTCAGCTTTAGTGCATAGAAATATGAAATTATGAAATACAGATAAAAATGGATGTTAAAATGGCAATACTGTGCCGGCATGTCAAGAGTGTACATGTTGATCAAATACCCGCGTCACACCGCCAACCCGACCCCGAACCAACTCTAAACCGACCGATTCTTAGCCATTTTGGCGAAATGTAATTTTTCTCGGTCTTTTTTCGGGCTGGTGTTTATCTCGGTGGTGTGACCGGCGTCTTACCTGGTATAGATATAACGTCTTGACCCCATGAATACGTTTCCTCACAATTTTTGCTGAAAAGTAAAATACAAAAAATAAATAAATGAAATCCAAAAGTCTGATTGGGATGACATAATGTAATTTTGATTTCAACTGGATACATTGTGTATAAAATTAAGACAAACAATGAAATAACACAATTGCAAAGACTACGGAGATCCTAATGTAAATATAAACCACTATAATCAACAATAATGATAAGTCCGATTCCCTATCAAACTGCCTAAAAATCTTCTTTTTTTTAATCATTAAAGCCTCGGTCACAAATGCCATTACGAACGAACCATTTCAAACAATGGAAATTCGGGAAGACAATGGAAAAACAGGGAGATTTGTACGAAATTATCGTTCGTACGAACCTTTGTGACCGTAGCATTAATAAACCATTGTTATCAGTTTGCACATCTTCAATAGTTCTTCCAGGACATATGATTTCCGATTCTCAGTAAATACATGATTGTTTTGATAATAAAAATGACGACGATGATGAGGATAATGATTATATAAATACGGTTTAACTAATGGTGCTTATTATGATAAAAATTACTCAATTTAGAGCAAACAAATAATATGAGGAATAATGTATAATCGCTAATACTTTCCCCATTCGTTTCATCATACCTGTTTGGTCGGACAATCGCGGCAATGGAAGGTTGTGTACGGGAGCATACGAAATCAAACCCGATGATGTTCTGTATGGCGCTTGGGAACATGCCAATAGCGATTGCCTACATTACGAAGGTAGCAAGAGAATATCGTAAATATGAATGCATTAGTCTAATGAGGAGAAATATGAGAGAGACAACTTTATACCTATATTCGGGAGATTTTTTCTTCAATTTTGCTTTGTTTAATTGCATATTCATAATGAAAAAGGTAGATAATTCCCTTTTTTTCTTATGGTCTCAGAAGTTATACTTTCGTTGTTGTAATGATGAAAGGAAAAGCTTGCGCTTCTAGCCGCCTCCTCCGCACTCGCTTCATTGGAACACTGGTGACGGACCCAGGGGGGGGGGGGGGGGGGGTCCCAAAACACGTTAATTGTACCTTTATTTGTTAAAAAAAAGAAGACGGCCCCTCCCTTGGTACTCAAAGGGGGGGGGGTGCGATTTTCTAATTTTCGGGGGCAAAAAAAAATAGTTAGTGCTCACTACCCCCCCCCCCCTCCCTCCCACCCTCCGCTTATTCACCGGCTGGCTGTTTCGCCGAAAAATATTTTCTCACTAATTGGGCCCCCTCTTTGGCCCCCTCCCCTGCCGCCGAATGGATCCGCCCCTGAGGAACACCGTATATGCCTCGAAGATGATTTTTCTAAAGTAGTTGTGATCGCGATTATTATCATGATTATGGAACACATCAACTTTTCTCTCTTGATTTATGTTCCTTTAATGAACAATATAAAAGACTTGATTCATGTATGTATTTTTAATCGCATTACAAATCATGTAATATGACAATTTATGAAATATTGAAATTAATTTGTAATTTTTTTAGTGTGAAAATGAGAGAAAAGAGAAGAAAAAAAGTAGGTCCATGGTTTTACCATTGTTCTAGGGTTGAAGATGGCGTCTGGTGATAGAGTCATAATATCGTTGTTTTCTCTGTCAGTGAAACCATTAATTGCAGTCTTACTGGTACGTGGCGGTGTTTGTCTTTCATTCTGTTAGATAAGGATTGAGTCAATGAGAGAAAAACTTCCATGAAATCATAAGTATTTATTACCATTGCCATTAAACGTAATCGTCATTATTTAGAATGGTGACATTTAATGGAAGAATTGCCTGGTACGTTATTACACTTCCAGTTCCGTCCTTGCCATTATTGATCATTCAACCTGATTCCTCTCCGAACTTAGATTTGAAAATCCACAAATAAACTACAAATTATTTGCAACGATTTAAAAAGAAATGGTTCCGTCGTTGTGTTTAATATGACGGACAGAAAATACCATCCACATAATAACCAAACAGTTCTATAAGATGAGGCATATTAATTAGCTTGGATTGAAATCCCTGGGTATTGTTTTTTCTCATTTTTAATTCACATGTCTGTTCTATTATGATCATATAATGTGATTAAATAGTTTATATAAAGATTAATTTCAGTCAAATTTTAAAATGATATTATTATGATTATTAAACTCACCCGGTAGATGCGTGGGTGATTGACGTTCTTCGGGATCACCTCTTTGCCGAGAGCATAACGGATAACGTCGGAAATTGGTACCTCGCCTCCGAACACATACACAGGGATACCTAACAAATTCGACATATGAAAAAGAATTATCGTTTTGCGGCATTGACGGATCCAGGTGGGGGGAATAGTATTCATACCAGAAATTAGTATCGTGCAGCTGATATTGAAATCCCTTCATTTTTTCTTTGCTGTTTTTGCACACTACGTACTGACCCAACAAGTTTAATTGTACTGTAAACTTGTGCAGAGGTTAACAGGAAAACGGCACTATTATTGTACGAATATTTGGATTGCCGTTGTATGTTAGGAAGGAACAAAACAAAGAACATAACATCAAAATCATCAATAACTACCAAGATTTGCCAAGGTCCGTGGAAGTTTCTCATTTTCAGCACCGACGATGCCGACAGTAGTTCTGATATACAGCGATACTTTGTGCTTGATCAATTGGTCTTTGTATTCCTCAAGTGCGTTCATCATTCCCTGCAAATAACAATACAACAAAGAATGTCACCAGACAGACCTGGATTTAAAAGGACAAATATACCCCGTAAACTACCCGCCTCCTTTTCTGAGACCCACTTTTCTCTGTTTTTTTTTCTTTCTTTGTCAGATATTTGACCAAATAAGTTTAATTGTTTGTTTGATTATTATCGGTTTTAGATTGTTTTAATTGTTTCATTCTTATCATTATTTTTATACGGGGGCGGGGGCTTTGTTTTTCCCTGTCAAGATATATCTTTAACTTAAAAGAAACCTAAATGTGAGGTCCTTTTCTTTATTTGTTTGTCAGAGGTAGCTCTGTCTTGTGAGCCCTCACTACCCTCCCCTCCACGTCCCCTCCCCTAAGAGAGTCATGCATGAAATATAATGACGTCGTCATTAAAGTTGTTACGTCATTTTTTATAGGTACATCGTTATAAGTATGTTTAAGTATTTTTAAGGCGCGATGGCACAAAGGTATAGTGCAGTGATCTTTTTACCTGGAGGTCCCGGTTTCGAAACCTAGTGGCTTACCCTAAATTTGGTAAGCCATTTATCCTTATTACCCAGTTTCTCAGAGAGGATTTAGAGCCGCCGTCGGTTCCCTTGTTGCTTACTTACAAGCATAAACATGCTTTCTTGGTAGTCAGGTAAATCAAACCAATCAAACCACCAACCAACCAACCAAATCAACCCAAAACAAGCATAATCTGATGAGATGAGGTAAAGAAAAAGCCCGGAGAAGATTTCTACAAGTACGTACTGCGCCAGGTCCAATCTTATTGGCTACAAGTGTTGTGACGTCAATTGCTTGACTGCCGGTCACCAGTACTTTTCCATCCGGGTGCTTCTCTGCCAACATCAAATCTAGCACTGTCTTAGTGAAGCCGTACATTTGTGTTGGATTCAATGGGCCAGAGAACTGAGCGTAGCAACCTATCTCATGAGAGCATTCGTGTACCATAGCAGTGTCTCTAAAAGCAACCAAACAAAAATTAAATTATTATTTCAAGAGTTTGCGTCATGAGATTTTGCCGCATAAAGAACAACACATCTACATTCAACTGAACTCTCTCTCTCTCTCTCTCTCTCTCTCGCTCTCTCTCTCTCTCCTCTCTCTCTCTCTCTCTCTCTCTCTCTCTCTTTCTCCCTCTGTTTGTCAGAGTGAATTTATCATGCTTTGTCGGTATTTCCGCGTGATGTAAGTAATCTTACGGAAAACAATATCATACAACAACAACAACTGCAACAATAGAAATACTGTATAAGCCAAATAACTATAATATTCGGCGTACAGGAGTGGAATCGTTTCATTCATTTCTAGTTGTTCTACCTAAACATGAACATCAGTCTATCTGGGTTTTTTCATACTTTCATCAATACTTAATGATTCGTTTTCTCAGTTAATGGCAAAATTGTAAGTTGTAAGATTTAGTACTTTCAGTCACTGGGCTTGATTTATTTGATTCAAAGAATGAGCTGTAGACCATAATCACTAACAACAAAAACATCTTGTTCATAAATCAAGAACTTACCCCAGCAATAGAGAGATTCCTCCACCGCTGATAGCGGACCAGATTCGTGCTTTTCGATTCAAGACAGTCAGTTTCACGTTGGCTGGTGTTCCTATCTCCAGCTCCGAAATAAATCGCTCCTAAAAATTCAAATGTACAAAACTTGAGTTGTGGAGTGCCCCAGTGAACATTTTTGGGACCATTCTTTGTTTGTATAGTCAATGACTTGTGCATAAAATTATCATCTAATCTGATCTCGTGTATTAAATATGCTGATAACAAAATTATTCTCCATTGTCGCAAAAATTCAATTCCTCATACATTTTTTTAAACGAAGTATTAAACTGAATTATGTGTTAGATAAGTGTAACAGTCTTTATCATATCACAAGGGACCAGCACCACATTATACTTCAATGTTCTTTCTTGGCAGTTTCCTCATTCGTATATATATATATATAATTGTATTTTGTGTTTATCTTTCGTTATGTTGTTTGTATGTTCTTTACTTATCTGTAAATATCAATGTTTGTTTTGCTATGACGAATGGAATCAAATGAAATGAAATGAAAAGATTGGAGACAAACAATATTATCCGTCGTTTCAAAGAACTATTATTATATTGAATTTCATCATACTTCAAGCTGTCATGAGATCCATTATTTGCGTATGTGTATTACATTAAAGCAGTGAGGTCATTCCTAGACATAAAAGCATTAGGTATTCCAAATACAGAATTCAATCAGTGGAAAAGATAAGTACATAAAGGTATCTTTTGGTAACTTATCAGAACATTTTGTTGTTTTTGTGTTTTTGTTTTTTGTTTTGTTTTTTTCTTTTTTAACCACAGGCAGCGCCAGGAGTAGATAATTGCTTGTGATCCTGCCTTATTTGAGATGATGTTATCCAGGGAAATACCAATCACCCCAGATGACTTTACGATTTTCCTTTTCTACACATATACACAAACACCAAACAAAACAAAGTCACAAGGATCATAAGCAGTTGCTATGGTAACTATTTACCTCTTCACTGGGCAGTCTTCCGAAAGGCGGGGGGAACTCCACCCGGCCCCATCTGTCCTTACACACAGGTGTGGCTTTGGTGTCTAGCATCGCAGCCAAGTCCAGCGGATACACCTTGTCCAAAACAACTGCAAGAACAGGAGGAAATACATTTATCCAAACTTTTAAAACTTTTATAACTTTTATGCCTTACTGTCACTATGCTTTTCTAAGTGTTTATCAGTACAAACTTAGGTATTTTATTAGGCTGGGGACTGCCTCGACAGAACCTTCATTTGGTTCTTTTGCAGTTTCCCAGTTCATGTTCGTTACCTATTTCTTGCTGTAAACATGTTAATTTGTTAATCTTGTCTTTGCTTCTCTTGATTTTTTGTTTAAAGTTCGATGTTTACTGTGTATCCTACATGTGATTATGTTCTCGATGTAAGCAATTGTAGTTTGAAAAGTGTGATGTGACACCAAGTCCAATTTTCAGAAATCTATTGAAGACGGCCACTAAGCCATCACAGAAAAATACCTACCCAAGGGGTTAATTTCTAGGAGAGTAAAATGCAGATCTTGATACATCTTGACGAGATCCACAATGAAGCTGGCCACGATACTGCATACAAAGAAGAATGAAATATACTGATCAATTTAATGATGGTGAGAATGATGATGATGACGACATTGACACGGGCAAAGACGACGATGTTGATATTATAAGCAAGATGATAATAACTACATTGGTGATAATAATAATGAAGAGGATGGTTTCGGCAACATGGGGAGGGGGAGGGGTATTATCATATTGAAGGCTCGTTTTTGACGCAGGCAGTTGCCATTCAGCTACACGTTGACAAAATCCCACGATGGGGTGCTTGCAGCAGTTTTCCTCGCCATATCTAAAATTTCTCTGACGAGTAGACAGTATTAAATTGCATTCACTTTGCGTTACGATTTTCTTCACTACCGTCACTTCGTGAAAACAAGGACGAAGTGACATTTTGAGTACTTATAGTTTACGCCAGATTACTCAAAAGGAAAGAAACGCCGATATCACCACGAAAAACACTACCCCCCCCCCCCCCCCCTCCTGATCAAGATGTATAAATCTAGAGATGGATGAAACGATTCCCCTCTTGTACGCTGAATATCATAGTTATTTGTCTCATACAGTATTTCTATTGCATGCCAATCATTGATTTACCTTTTCTTCTGAGGTGCGATGTTCTTCAAGAGTTCATCCTTCACAATGACGTCACTTAACTCCTCTTTAAGTCCAAGTCTCAGTTTCAGAGCCTTTACCATGCAAAACAAAAAAGAATGAGTTTACAGGGAAATCCAACTTTTATAACAAACTACTCTAAAAGAAAGCAGAACACTCAGAGAAGTAGCCTGGTAAAGGTTTAAACGAAATAGAACCAAAGAAATAAGAACGTTATGAATATAATGAAGGTTGCAATCACTATAAAGTGCAAATCCATAAAAAGTGTACCCAACTTTGGAAGCTTCTGAATTAATAGTTATAACCTAATGTGTAACCTCAAACCATATTTCATTGTAAAGAAGTACCCTGTCTAATGACCCTGGTGCTCATTCAGCCGGGGCATAAATATTATGAATAGGGTATCATTGAACAGAAAATAAATAATTAATCTTCATCATGATATCAATTGCAAGGTCATATTGTTATGACTTTTTAATTAGGAGCTCCCAGAGTTGGGTGCACTTTTTGTATACGCGCTGTAGACGTATGTGCACTTTAAATTGGCTGAATGGGTAATGTCAATGTGACGTATAGTGCAGGGCCCCGTCTTACAAAGAGTTGATATCAATCGTAACTTAATTGCGATTGATATCAATCGTAACTATGTACATAAGAGATAGGGGACTGCAAACTTGCGATTGATTGGAGGACTTACGATTGATTTGGATCGATCGTAACTTTTTGTAAGACGGGGCCCTGGTCAACATTCCCATTCGTTCCAAAACACGAAATGGCTAATTTTCCAAAATATATATTTCTCAGACGACCTAAAGTAAAATAAACAATTCATGATATGTGCTGGATAGTGCCCCAATGTGGAAGGCGCCTTTTGGGGAATTAATCAGTAATTATTGATATTTTTGTACACAAACGAGAAATCTTCCTTGCTTACGTCGAAATGTACTGACTGAATTACAAATATGAGATTCTTGAGGCTTTTTTTTACATATGATGCGGCAAAACCGAGGCAGGTTTTTCTTATGATGACATAATGTAATATGTTTCATAATTCATTATCTTATAACACAGTGCTCAGTGAATCCGCGCAGGTTCTTTATATTTATTTACACGTATAAGAAAAAAAGGAGGCTGATTCTTTTTTTTTCTGCTTCGGTTTACGGCGCCATAATTATTAGAACAAACCTCTACTCAAATCTGGAAGAAAAAAAGAATCATGATATGACTTAAAGACAAGGTTAAGTTCTGGTCATGCGATTGCATTGTGAAAGAAACGGTGTTGAATCGATCAGAAAAAGTTGATAATGTAGCATAACTATTGGTGTGTACTGCAAGGTTCTGGAATCATCAAAATGATAACGAATTTGGCACAGTCTTTGTAAACGTACAAGCACTGTACACAGAAAGATGTATATGGGACTACACAAACATGTGGCATAAAAATCGGGCCTCATTTTTAAGCTGTTACTTGTCAAATTTAGAATATGAAGGCATTTGAAGAGCCATGCTTTTCAGGGAGAAAAAAAATTATATGATATTCTTCCACACATGCATAACAAAGATGGCGCTCTTTGACGTCTCCTACGAGTTTTTTTAGCTGCAAGAATTTTCTATTCTACTACTCATATCTCTTCTTCATCATCTTCATTTGACTGTTTTTGATATGTAGTGCTTCTAAACATCATCAACCGCCAATATTAGGAGTCAAGTGTGGCAGCAGTTTGGAGTTGGTCCTTATTTTTTCGGATTACAAGCTTGTATTAAAGTTACACGTCAATCGTTTGTTCTGTCCCACCTGTTTCTCTTGCTGTATTTATTGACATTGTAGTACCGTGACTTGCGGCGCAGTGCTCTTGCCTTGTCTTCTGATATTTTCATTATCCTCTTGCCAATTTACAATGTCTATCAAGACAGTTAAAGCCGTTCTGGCTGAACTTTTTGAAAAAGAGGAGTTCTTTCAGGCAATTTCAGATGGCGTAGAGAAGAAATTAACTTGGTACAATTTTAGTTGCTGAAAAGGCTTTTGACGAGTACCAGCATAGACGTAGACGTAGACAGACTTATACAACAAGAAGCTTGCATCACTGAATTTGTATCAACAGGGAAAGTGAGGGATACTCAAATACGTGACCTAGAGACAAAGCTGAGTTCTATGGAGACCAGATGTGACAAGCTGGAGAGTGACCTCATGGGTGTTCAGAATGGGAAGGATCAACAGGATCAACAGTTCAAATCGCTTCAGAAGGAGCTTAACAGCCGTAATGAAGAAGCGCATAGCCTTAAACGAAACATCAATTCATTGGAGCAGTACTCGCGTCGAAACTGTGTACGCATTTTTGGAGTGAAGGAAAAACTGCAAGAAAATACAGATGAAATCGTTTATGATGTCGCACGGCAAATGGGAATCACCCTCGACCCGAGTGACATCGATCGCAGTCACCGTGTAGGAAAAGTTCCAGCTGACAAGGCTAGGAGCAGGGGTATCATCGTAAAGTTTCGCTCCTACAAATGCTGTCAACAGCTAATCGCAAATAGAAGGAAACTGTAAGGATCTCATATATCTGTGTTTGAAGACCTGACAGCGTCTAACTTCAAACTGTTGAGTGATGCCCAGGCCTACTCTAAGGTTCTAGCAGCATGGTCATTAGGTGGACGTATTTATGTAAGTGCTACAACTACAAATGGGACAATGAAGCATCTCATTACACGCAAAGAGGACTTACAGAAGCTGTAATTTTTTATCTCTATTTAATGATCTTCAGTTCTTGATGAATTTTTTATTGGCTCTTAGTGGCTTTTCTTCTTACAATACATCGAACATTTGTCGTTGTTTTTGTTTTGTTTTTTGCCGTTTATCTCTGTAGCGGCTCTTACATTCGCCCTACTTACATTCGCCCTACTTTTATTGTACATTCATGTCTCCAGTATTTTTCCATCACGCCACTTATTTATATTCATTATTCGGACCACGTGTGTATTTCTTTCCAATCGCGCATCGTGGTTCCGCACTGTTCACCCCGCGTATTTTCAACGCCACGAGGTTTTTCTCCACTCTCGCTTTCACCTCGGTCGAGTCAACAACTCCTGCTTACATCTCAGTTGAGTCAACACGTCTCTGCATGATTTCCTCTCCGGGCTTGATTCTACCGTGCCTATCACCTCTATCGGCACATACACATCTTCACTTTCTCTGCCGTCTTCAACGGGCTGGCAGTTTCCCAGTGGAACAGTTAAAATCAAGATCCGACATATATGGTGCTTGGTTATCCGCTGGGAGCTGCCAGTTTCTTCGCTCCGGTAGATTTCTTCACTATCTTCATCACGGACGTCAGCGTCGAGATTCTTCACGGCTCTTCAGCCACGACAACGAAGTTACATCTCCGTCTCTTCAAGCCTCCGCACATTTCATCGCGTGAGCCCCTTCCTTCGTTCCCAACTCTCTTCATCTTCATTGGACTTTCGACTTCATTTCTACTATTGTCGTAAGCTCTATTTATGTACATCGCATTTATTCATGTTCATTATCATCATTGATCATTATGTAATCTCCGTGCAATATTCACATTTACCATTTATGCATTTTCATTCCGATTCTTCGGCTTGTGCTTGGCTACACTTTGCAAGTGTACGGCCAGCCTCATCAGTACCCAATAAACATAACGAAAAGGGAATACTTTCTTTTATGTATTTTATTGTCAGTGCAACCTTGTTTCCTCGTAGCGTAGCTAAAATAAAAATAAGAGTTATGTTGTGTGACGAGTGAACACGCTTTCAAATATCCATTCACAATACCTCACACTCATATCTCTACATCTCCATTGAACTTCTTTTTTTCTTTTTTCTTTTTTTCTGTTGCATTTTTTTCATTTTTATATTTGTAGGTGTGTCTGTTTATGTGTGTAGTGAGCATGTCTGAGAAACAAAGTTATGTGCAATCTTTACAATCTATTGATTTATAAACTATTTATGAATATCTGTCTCCTGAGAATAATGAAAATGGATACAATTACGGGCCTTCCCAATCTTTTTATACCCCAGATGAATTTAATGATTACAGTAAAACAAAATTAAAGAACTATTCACGTGTCTTTTCTAGCTTGCATTGTAATTGCAGGAGTATGAATAAGAATTTTGAAAATTTAACTATATTTCTTAATACTTTGGATGTGCAATTTTCGCTTTTAGGTATAACAGAAACGTGGCTGAAAGAGAGTGATTGTTTTTATAACATTGATCATTATTCATTTTTAGGTAATGGGAGAGAAGCTAAAAGAGGTGGAGGAGTTGCAATATATATTAGAAATGATATAGATTTTAAAAGTAGAGCTGATTTAGATTTAAATACTGTTCATTTTGAGTCTATTTTTGTAGAAATTTCTAATTTCACCAAGAATATTATAGTAGGGGTAATTTATCGTCCACCAAACCAATCAGTGCAATCTTTTATTGAATCATTTGATGAAATTTTAAATATTGTAAAAAAAGAAAATAAATTATTGTATTTAATGGGTGATTTTAATTTAAATTTATTAAAAGTTACATCTTGCAAGAGAGTCAATGAATTTCTTGATCTTTGTATGTTTAACAACATTTACCCTCTGACAGTGGCGGATCCAGGGGGGGGGCCCGGGGGGCCCGGGCCCCCCCCCCCCTTGAGAAAAAAATCATGTAAAATCACGTGATTTTTACGATTTTTGGGGGTTGGGCCCCCCCCCTGGCGCTCAAGGGGGGGGTGCAAATTGAAATTTTTTTGAGGATCAAAAAAAAAAAAAATGTGCTCACTACCCCCCCCCCCCCCCCCCCCCCCCCCCCCCCCCCCCCCCCCCCCCCCCCCACTGAGCGAATTTTTGGCCGGCGCGTTTTTCAAATTTTCGGGAGCAAAAAAAAAAAAAAAAAAAAAAAAAAAAAAAAAAGTGCTCTGTACCCCCCCCCCCCCCCCCCCCCCCCCCCCCCCACTGAGCGACTTTTCGGCCGGGCGCGAATTTCAAATTTTCGGGAGCAAAAAAAAAAAAAAAGTTGGGCCCCCTCCCCTAAGAAATCCTGGATCCGCGCCTGCCCTCTGATTCATACTCCAACACGTGTAACCAATCATTCTGCTTCCTTGTTAGATAATATTTTGACTAATGACTTAGAAGAAATATTTGCAGGTGTTATCCTCGGTGATGTCAGTGATCACTTTCCAGTTTTTTCAATCTCAAATCTACAGTTACAAATAAAAAAGGAAAATGCTTCTGTTAAAGCTTATCTGCCGTAGTTTACAGGAGGGATTAGACCGCCCTGCAAGGTCACTGGACAGGTGGTTATCTCATCAACTCAGCTCTCAGTTAACATAAGAAAAAGAGGATCATGGGGGACCAATGGTCACCGATTAGGCATTGATTGTTATATAGAGGGCGCAAGTAGCTACAAGTAGTGCAGTGGGCCTTTAAACGTGATTTTAATAAAGAAAATTCACAGCTTTTTGTTTATGAAATTATGAATGTATGTTGGTCTGTTGAAAATCATGATGCTAATGAAGCCTATAATGATTTTTTGCAAAAGTTTTTAAACATTTATGAGTCATGCTTTCCAATTAAAAAGTCAGTTAAAAAGAAATTCAAAAATAAACCATGGTTTAATAAACCACTACGTAAGCTCTGTAATAAAAAATGTTACTTATACAGACGATATATTAAAAAACCAACTTCAGAAAGACATGAAAAATACAAGAATTTCAGAAATAAGGTAACTGAAGAAATTAAAGAAACAAAGAGAGCATATTTTAAAGGTAAATTTCAAAATGCTGCAGGTGATATGAAAAACACATGGAAAATAATCAATGGAGTACTGGGTAGGGGTGTAAAGAAGAAGGTAATACCTAGTTCAATTCAGTGCAATGATGCAATGATAAATGGGACAGCAGCAATATGTAATGCTTTTAACAAATACTTTGTAAATATAGGCCATACACTGTCTTCTTCTTTTGTAAATTCTGGGGACTGTATGCAACATGTAATAAAAAATAATTCATCTGCATTTTTTACTCCGTGTACACCAAAAGAAGTTATTATTATTGTTTCTAAACTTAAAAATGGCAAGAGTCCTGGTTTTGATGGAGTGGATATCACATTGGTTAAAAATGTTATTCATATTTTATGTTACCCTTTATGTGATATTATCAATTTATCTTTAAATACTGGTGTTGTCCCAGACAAACTTAAAATTGCAAAGGTTATTCCTATTTATAAAAATGGATCAAATGTTAATTTATCAAATTATAGGCCCATATCTATTCTTCCTATTTTTCAAAGATTTTAGAGAAATGTGTATATAGTCGTGTATATAAATTCTTGGAAAAGTACAATATTATTACTCCCAAACAATTTGGTTTTCGAGCGGGACACTCTACTTCTTCTGCCATCTCTGATTTTATTCATAAAGTTACAAATGCCTTTGATAATAAAGAAATAATGATTGGCCTGTTTTTAGATCTTAGCAAGGCTTTTGATTCTCTTGATCACTCAATATTATTAAAAAAATTGGAATGTTATGGTTTTAGAGGTATTGTACTGAAATGGTTCAAAAGTTATTTAAGTAATCGCAAACAATATGTTCTAGAAAAATGTGAATCACAGACAATGGCGATAAGATGTGGAGTGCCCCAGGGCTCAATTCTTGGGCCATTATTATTTCTTTTATATGTAAATGATATTTGCAATGTTTCAAAAGTATTAGAACTGATATTATTTGCAGATGACACTAGTGTGTTTATGTCCCATCAAGATATTGTATCTCTTCAAAATATGTTTAATACAGAATTTGCTAAACTGGTTGATTGGTTATATATAAATAAACTTGTAATCAATATTAAAAAAACACACTTCATGATTTTTACCAAAAAAAACATTGATGTTACCCAAATAAAGGTTAAAGTTAAGGAATCAGTTATTGAATACGTTACACATTTAACTTTTTTAGGAGTCACAATTGATGATAAATTAAATTGGAAGGAACACACTGGTGTCGTCTGCAATAGATTGGCTAAACATGTTGGTATATTTTATAAATTGAAATTTTTACCTACAGAAATATTAATAATTTTGTATAATACATCAATATTACCCCACTTAAATTATTGTATTCTTGTATGGGCATGCTCTAGTATGCAAAATACAAATAGGCTTTTAATTTTACAAAAGAAAATTATAAGAATTATATCGCACAGCCAATACCTTGCTCATACTTTACCTCTTTTTTACAACCTACATTTTTTTAAAGTAAACGATATTTATGTTTATCAATGTGCAATTTTTATGTATCTATGCTTTAAAAAACTTTTACCAAATACTATTTTACAATATTTTCAACTTAATAAGAATATTCATGGCCACCAGACCAGGATTTTAAATAATTTTCATATTCCAGGAGTAAGGACACTAGTTTCCCAAAATACAATTTTTTTCAGGGGTCCAAAAATTTGGAATGACATACCCATAGATATTCGACTGAGTCCATCACTAAATAGTTTTAAAAGAAAATTTAAACTGTACCTGTTAAGACAATACTCAATAATAAATAATTACAGTGCTTATATAGCGCCTAACACTTACTTTGTCAGAAGTCTCTAAGCGCTCTACAATAATGCAGCATAATTACCCTGGCTTTAGCAGTGCAGCTGTTACGCGCGCTGCGTTTCAAAGAATAAATTCCTACCAGGTACCCATTTACTACACCTGGGTGGAGTGTGGCAAATGTAGATCAATGTCTTGCCAAAGGACATTAGTGCAGCGGCGGGACTCGAACCGCGGACCTTGTGATCGACAGTCCGGCGACGTATCCACTCGACCACAACACCTCTAGTGCAATAACCTATATTCTTAATGTTCATCAGACAGAAAAGTGTGTGTTGGTGTGTATGGGAGAGAGTGTATGTGTGAATGCAATTCCCCCCCTTTTTTTTCCTTCCTTTTTATAACAAATACAAAATTTAAATAATGTACTTAGTTTTTTATACAATTACTGGAGACAGACTTTTACATAAGGCCCGGCCTTCCTGTCTAGTCTCCAAATACTTTCATTAATGTACATGTTTAAAAATGTTTTGTCCCTTGTCCATCATGTCTTCTCCACTTGTGTTATCCTCATGTTATATATTGATACATGTATTTTATTCTAACTTTTATATGTTTGCTTTCCATGTATATTTTTAATGAAAGTATTGAATAAAGTGAACTTGAACTTGAACTTGTAAAATCACGTGATTTTTACCTTTTTTGAGGGTTGGCCCCCCCCCCCTGGCGCTCAAGGGGGGGGGGGTGCAAATTGAATTTTTTTTAAGGATAAAAAAAAAAAAAATGTGCTCACTGCCCCCCCCCCCCAAAAAAAAACATTACAAATAAACCTAAAAATTACAATGCATATGAAATATATATCAATGTGAACAGTGTAAGTTAATCATCAAAAGCAATTTTGTATATACATGTCTTAAAGCCCAACTGTCCTACTTGTAGCTACTTGCTCCCTCTATATAGAAAACTCCCCAAATCGGTGCCTATTGCCTGGTCCCCCATGATCCTCTTTTTCTTATGTTAGTTGAGAGCTGAGTTAATGAGATAGCCACCTGTCAGTGACCTCGCTGTGTGGTCTAATCCCTTCTGGCCCAGTAGTATTGACGGTCTTTAAAGACCATCAATACTACTGGGCCAGAAGGGAGCAAGTAGCTACAAGTAGGACAGTGGGGCTTTAAGACAAGTTTTGAATTGGTCGACAGTCTGACAGTTTTTGACTTGAAAAGGTAGTTTGTTCCGGAAGCAAAGGTAGTTTGTTCCAAATCAGAAGCTTTGCAAAATACATAACGTGCCTACGCGCTTCTAAAGAAATTTGGAAACTATTACCCTATAGCTTTGGCTCCGACAGCCGTTATCAGCGCACAGTGCATTTCAAGAAATAATCCTACCAGGTACCCATTTACCTCACCTGGGTGGAGTGCGGCAAATGTTGATTAACGTCTTGCCAAAGGATGTTAGTGTTGTGGCAGGGGTTCGACTCTTGATAGCTACTCTTTCGGTCAAACTCCAACAGTTTTGGAACCATTGAACACACTATTTGCAGATATCATTTGTATTATTTTGTTAACCTTCCGAATAACCTAATCCCTTTTCTAAAGAACATTCGAGATAAGACCAAAGTACATTGCGGTCTTTCACCCACTCTTTAGGCAGAGGAGTGGAAAGCAACTCTTTCAGGAGTTATGTTACGGTTCACCTTTGTTGTTGTTATTTGAATCACCTCTAAACTACAGATGAATCCACTTCAAAATAGAGGTCTTGGCGTGGATTAAAATTTCAATTTCATTGGGCCTTCGAGTTTCGCAGTTTCGCGCAAAGTTTCATACACATTTGGTGATTCCACCACGTCCAGATCAAGCCAATCATTACACAATGCACATGAAAACTGCCATTAGACTTTAAACCTAGGTTGCTTCAGGAACCGGTGAAAAAAGAAAGTTTACAATTCGCTTACCTTCTCTCCGACATCACCGACATCGACACCGCCCTGGTGATGGAACAAGACGACATCGGCATCCATCTCGGAGTAGATGGACACATAATATTCGTCTGAGGAGGGATCGTGTTTCACGAAAGGCTCAATGATGAACTGGCGAAGACGACCATTGACACCGTCCACCTTCAATAAATCGAGAGAATGGTGACGTGCTGACATTTAGTTTAGAGATGATATTTGTAGTTTGGAAGGTTTTTATGTTTTTGTTGTTTTTTCTTTTTCTTGCTGTTGACGTTTTTTATGATCGTGTTTTTGTTTTAAGTAATACACTTCATTCTTACATTAATAAAAACTGATTAAAGATCGATCTCAGTTTAGACAAAAATTAGTTCTCATTATTTCTCTTTTAATCTCTAATCTCGAGTGATTATTAGTTATTCGCACGGGAGGCCTCCAGTATTGATACATGCCAATGGCGAATAAATGCGGTTTTGATATGGTAATTTCTTACTGCTTTGATAAAATAGGCACTTCATCTGATGAATAATTAATTTCTCATATATCAATAATATGAGTCTCTTTTTTTTTAAATCGCAAATCTTTTCTCTGTAATTCTCAAAACATTTCATTAGATGTTTGTCATCTTCAGATTAAGAAGTGAATTTTAAAAAAATGAAAATCGAACCACAAGCAAACGGGCTTCATATACCTGCTCTAAAAATGCTGGAAAACGTATAATACTTCTATAATATCAGTTGCAGTTTTCGGGGGAGAGGCCTAGGGAAGAACGTTTTACATTATTGGCCGTTTGATGAGAGAAACTTTGTCTTATCCAACTGGGATAAGATCATTAGATCCAGAGGTATGAACACTAAAAAAGAATTGTAAATGCATTACCAGTAAATCTTCTTCCATCTTTTCTGCAATCCATTTTCTGGCCGTTGTTAGGTCAGTATTGAGCTTTAGCAACCCAAGTTTACCGCGTCGTTTCAGTCCCTGGTCCGGTTTAACAACGAGTGGCTGAAAATTAGTGAGAGTAGAAAGCATAAAGAATATAGGTACGTCGCGACGCCTAGCTGCGAGGGAATGTGAGGGATTTCTCCCTCTCCTTCTTCCACACTTAATGACAAATATCTAGCTGTTTATCCATCAGTATTAATACTGATGTGGCTAGCCTTGGTAACTAAGACCGATTAACAATACTAACTGTTAACATTATAATTGTTATTATCATAGTTAATAATATTATTATTATTATTATTATTATTATTATTATTATTATAAATATTAGTATCATCATTGTCATTGTTATTATCATGATCATCATTATAATTATTATTATCATTATTAATATCAACATTATTATTATTATCAACAATGTTATCATTATTGTTATTATTATCATTATTATCATTATCAGTATCAGTATTAATATCCTTATTATTATTATCATCATTATTATTATTATTATCATTATCAGTATCGTTATTGTCATCTTTAAATGCCCAATTCGACATCCGTGTAATATTCCATGGGCCTTTTTCGGAGGGAGGAGGGGGGCTTTTATTGGAAATCCAACCGTGCTATGCTACAGCAAAGGAGGTTTAAATCGATGTCTCATAATACCCCATCCTTTCCTTTTCTGACCTTTTTCCAAACGTCTTGTCAACAAAAATCACCTTGAATGATTATAATATTTTGCATCGATGAAGCGCAATACAAATAAATTTCAATGCACTTTACATTAGATACGAAAATAATCAAAAGGATAACTACACATGAAATACATTTTATACTTACGGAAATAAATCTGTGCATATCTACTACATTTCATTCATTCTACGATAACTTGACAAAGAATAACATGACATCGAAAATAATATCGCTAGTGATATTCGTCTCGCAATGTATGGTCAACAAGGGATCAAAAGATCACGACGTTTCGCGTGCCGCTGCAACACTTCGTCAGGTGATAACATACTTGTAAGCAAGCGTCTTGTTGACCATACATTGCGAGACAAACGAATATACCTTTCCACGGTAAATTCTGAAGTAATTCTTTTAAACAACTAAAGGAAATTATCATCAATCAGATTATACATTTAAGGTATGCAAACCTATAAAGTAGATTGTACAATATAAGCATTGGATCGGTGAACAATAAAGAAACCTATTATGAAATTTGAACAAAGCAAAAATTAGAAATAGGTCTAAAACATTATTATCGAAGAAAAGATTTTTTTTAAGGGTGTTGGGGGATTAAATATTGTGGACATTACAAATCGAAATTGGAAGTGATTGGTATAATTATAAAGAGATCAAGTACTTTTGAATGAAATGGGTGTGATAGAAATAAATCAAAGAAAACATGTTCTTGGTAAATCGGTTTTTGCAAGAAAGGTTGGGGATTAGAAGGGAAAGACCACCCCGGCACCAAACCAACTCAAAAGGGGAACATTAAAACAAATATTTTTTTTTAAAATCGAGCGCAGGATGCCAACCCTGCGAGGAACATTTTGAGTTTCTCCAAAAAAAATAAAGATCTCGACTACTTTCGAAAGATCAACCAAAGGCAATTGCAATGGCCTTGTAAGCCTTGTTATAATGTGCGAACATTACGAAGACGTATTGCGTGACGGAAGACATTTTTTTTTTCTTCATTTCATTTATTTTCCATTAAAATTCAAAGTAAAATACATAACAAATTAACAGCAAAATCGGAAGGACCCCAAGAAAAGCAAAGCTTGTGAGAATGGGGCCCTGTACAAAAATAAACATACAAACAAATTATTATAACAAATATTGTAAAACTTATCAAAACAAACATACACCCACCCTCATTCATTCACATGCACACAGACACACGAACACACACAAGGAGTATTGAAATAACACTTGAGGTCAATTTTACAAAAGTAGTTGCAATCGTGATAATGAAATTTATTTAAATGAGGTACTATATACCAAATACATCTGATACAGGTTAAAATGCATTAATGGGAATTATAGGCATATCACAAAGAAGACAAAAAACGTTAATAATACGGGTCAAATAGGATCAAGTCCCGTATGGTCGTACAAATTTCTCGTAAAAAATACAGGCGATAATATCGATTTCAAGTATTTTAAAAAAATGGAGGGGAAAATATATAACTCACTTCCGATTGAAGCCAATCATGCGAGCCGACGAGGCTATCCCAGTCCGTGCTTGCATCCACTTTCACACATCGAATTACACCTACGTGTTCCGACAAAGCATTCGACAACAGTCTCTTTCCATATACTTCCGTGATCACCTTCGACGTCATTCTCCTGATCGTTTGTTTGTTGGTTAGTTTGTTAGTTTGGTTGTATCAAAGAGGGACGATTAGTAACCAAATTGTAAGGATTCCAAAGTAAGTGAACATAGACCTCGGCTAAACACGACTTGCTTTGGTGGTTGAAAGATCGCAAATGAAAGAAGAGCAGATGTTTAATGACGGGGTATCGATTGCGATACCCTTATTAAAAATAATTATATCGGAGGGTGGGGAGTATTCAGGTTCTAGTCGGATGTGATGCTGAGCTAGCTTAAAGGTACTATGTCCCCTTTGCAGCCAACCTCAAATTCTGTAGAACTTTGCAGGAATTATGAATATGTCATGTATGTCCTATCTGTGAAATGTAAACGTTAGCAGTGTCCTCATATTCAAATTATGCAAGGAAACCCGTTTACTTCACTGTCAGACACTATTGAGTGACTGACTGGCTTTTTTTTCTTCTTTGGTAATAACATACATGAAAAGAGTTGTAAAGGGTACATGAGCATTATTTTGTATACATCAATAACCCACTTCTTGTAATGGCCAAGATTAAACTGATTGAATCTTTGCGCAGCATAAAACGTATGACCATTCGGTACAATTGTCTGAAATTCAAGACAATTACTTTTGGGCTCTATAGCCCTAAAGTCGATTTGACAACTAATAGTCGTTATTTTCCCACTTGAAGACATTTTCAAGCCCCACCTTTTTTAGGGAAGTTCTAAATTAGTATTCATATTGCTCCGATTGTCTCATTTTCGCTCGCTCGATCACTGCAGCACAAACATAGCTCGTTCGACGTCACTACCAAACTAGCCAATCAGCTGTCAATGACGTCATATTGAATGCGGCGGCAATATATTTTGTGAAATTATCGAGAAATTGACTATTTCTAATTGCAAACTAGTTTTATTTTTGGATGGAAAAGCAGTCATTGTTATCTTGACATTCATTGAAGTAATCAGAATAGGGTAAGTTACTTCTCAGATGATTCAAGAGGTCCATTTTGTAGATAATTTTTTAATTTCTTAGAATGTTCCACTGTGTTGCAGGGTACCGGGTGGCGTTATTTTTTTATGCGGCACAGATTGGGGTTTTTTTTTTTAAAGGGGTCTTGATTTACAGACTAATAGTGGTCGTGTGCGTACTAGTTGTAGAGGTCTGTTTTTAATAGTGTTACATGTAATCCACTACCGTATGGAAAATCATTACATCAACAATTAAAATGCAATTGAAAATCTGAAGAGGAGGCAGCACGTCAACAAGGAGAACATCACAATAATTAGTCAATAAAACTTAATTAACTTAAACGAAGAGGAATGTTATCTAAACACATAGTTCGCGATGGATATTCAAACTTCTTCGCAGCGCTAATGCGCTAGCGAACATGCCTAGTCTCACGTACGTGCAGACATTATTCAACACGTACCATGCCCCAATCTGTGCCGCATAAAAAAATAACGCTACCGGCGTGCGTCTTATTTTTTCGTACCACGGCGAGCCCGGATTCCTGTTTTATCATGAATATTCATTAGGCAGGGCCGGGGAAAGTCTCGATTCTCTTGAATATTCATGTATGATCGAGGCATGCGCAGCATCGAATGTCGTGTGTAACAAGTACGTTGGATTAATGGCAGGCCTATAATATGACATAGAAAAGCAATGTCATGGTCATTTAGATAATACAGTCATAAATGCCGTGTTTAATTACTAGTAAATGCCAAAATGTCAGTACCGGTAGACAAGATATATAGCATATATTTCAAGTAAGAGTCTTGATAGGCAATTTGTGAGTAGCCTAGGCCTACTTTTCTGAGATTAATGGGAGTCTAGTTCTTTTCATAAATTGGTAAATAATCAGTTCTAGGTTTGCTTTTTAAATATTACAAGCAGAGGTTGCATTATGGTATTGAATATGTGATACAGTATTATAAACTGTATAAAATAGATAACAAGAATAGGCCTACATACAGACATTTATCAAAAATAAAATACTTGTGTATTGCACTTAAATTATTTCTATGATCTATGCTCACTTAACTGCATAAGGAAGAAAAGGAAGAAAGAAAAATGGGATTAGAAAGAAGAATAACAAAGTTAAAAAGTAAAATATATATAAATAATAAATGAATGGAAGAAATAAAGAATACGGAATAGATACCAAGGAAGAAAGAAATAAAGCAAGAAAATTGAAATGAAAAGAAGACAAAAGAAAAAGGGAAAGGAGCAAGATAATATTGATACCATATCTTCAATCTTGTTTTCTTTTATCTTGCCTCTTGTTTTTGTTTAGGCCTAGCTACCATTTTTTCCTTTCCTTTCTCTTTTTCTCTTAAAAGATCTCTTTGGTTTCTTTCTAAAATAATGAGGGAAGGGGGGTGGGGGACTCGATGATAATTCATCATTTGAAGGTTTACAATGTGAAGTCCACGAGTAATATGCACCCACTGAAGAAAATCCATGTACAGGGTTGCTGCAGGAACCCCAGCACCCACAGATCCCACGCATGATGAGACAAACTCGAGAGAAAACTACACATTCTTTCACATACATTGAAGAAAAAAAAGAAGAAAAAAAAATCCAAGATCGGTTGAACTCTTTTTGACCCCTCCCCAGGACGTCGATCAATTACATGTATGTGCCCCCCCCCCCAAACTCTGACTACGGCCCTGGCGATAATTACCCACTATTCAAATCTGACAGGTGCCCCTTTTTCTTCAACAAATGCCCCTTTAACTTCATAATAAGTGCCACTGTTCCATTTTCATAAGTGCCCCTTGTGATATCTGATAAAAGCCCTTTCATTTTTTTTTACTTTGACACGCGTCCCCTTAAACTTTCTAACAAGTGCCCTTTTACCTTTTGATATGTGCCCCTTTCCCTGTTTAATAGGAGCCCCAACCCCAACCCTTTCTCATAAATGCCCCTTTGACACATGCCCCCTTTTCCTTTTTTTATAATTCCCCTTTTCTCTCTTTCTCTGTCTTTCGAAAACTATCTTCTGCAAGGTTTGTTCTCTTGACTGAGCAACCTGTTGCAATTCCTTTCTGTCTCACTTTCAGTCGTACTTGTTGCCACTCATTTGCATTCACTCGTTATCAACTACCATCAACCATTCCATATTCACTCCATTACTGTCCACATTTCAATTTCATTCTCTTCACTCTCCCTTTTTGCAGCCTTTCCAGGAGCTTTGCTAGAAGTAGAACATTTTTAATGTAGAGGCCAGAGAAACCGGAAAGTATGTTAATCATTTTATTCAAATATCTAACTTGAAAAAAAGGAAAGTGAAACATTGTTTAATTACAATATATTGACATAATTTTGTTAAAGAAAAAATTTGAATTTAACACTGGAAATTTGTAATTGGTTTGCCAGCCCCCCCCCCCCCCAAAAAAAAAACACTCAAAACACAACAGTGGTACCAGGGTTTTTGTTAGGAGGCCCATGTACTGTATAATTTTTATTATTAAGAATAGTTTTCTCTTTTTTATTAATTTGACATTGGCATACCGTAAATTTCACCAGGAACCCCCCCCCCCCCCTCCCGACACTGCCATTACTTCTACCAACAGTAATGCTATAATTCAAAATTTCACTTTCTAAATCCTTCTAATATAAACATATAATCATATTTGTACAGAGGATAAGATAAGAGGATAGCAAGCCCCCCCCCCCCCCCCCCACTCCCTGTTTTCTTTAGTTGGGAAGCATCAAAACATGATTCTATGAAAGCTACCAGTTTGGATACGAAAGGCAATGAGGATTAGCAGTTTCCATATTTAATGCATTTAGAGTGTTGTCTTTCAAACCTTCTTACATACAATACTTGAAGTAGCAATAATTTCATAATCTACAAAACTTCCCATACAGAAGTCCATAGAGGTAAATGAATTTTAACATGTATAATTATAATCAAAATATCATTGATTAATTCAATCTTTGATATAGACTGATAGACCTTTATCAATCAAATTTGAAGGAGAATCTTTCTGCCCAGTCCTCAGTTTCATCCTATAAGATGGTAGTTGACATTGTTAGAATTTTAATGTTTATTCGTTGAGGATTAGTTATCTTTAATTATTTGAAAGTCGACAAGATAATAAACTTCATTAGCTTTATTGAATGTAGTATTCTACAAACATATAATACAAATAACAAATAAATATCATGTAAATATTCCAGTTTAAACCCATCTCTATTGTCCTCTTTCATTATATGAGGGTGGCATCTTTAAGACGTAGTGTCGTGTAGATATCTTCTGCATCCATCACTAAAGTTGTAGCCTAGTTTTCAGAAAAAAATATAACCCAAGTCTGTTGAATGGAAAAATGAAATAAGATATAAAAAAATCAACAATGACTAATAACATACACCCTGATACCTGCTCAGAAAAAGGAAGGACTGAAATTCACTTGGGGTTCTAGTGGGCAAACCTAAACTATTTTTTGTACAAGACTAGTTTAAATACTGACCGCATCTTAAATTATTACTGATGATCCCATTAAGACGATAGGCCTGCTGGAGCTCGGATCAGACAAGGTATGAAATAAGTAATACAATGTAATACAACTCGTGCTCATACCGGTAATTGAATAATACTCGGTTAAGTATGGGACATAAAATGACCAAACAACTTTGACCAGAGAATGTACTGGAAATAATGCTACTGAAACATACGTAATGTAGACTTATATTTCATCTATATTGACATTTAATTTTTAATCTAAATTACAATTGTGATATTAAGTCAATTATTCTTTTACAAGTCAACTGACAATGAAAAATATCTGTTTCAGATCTATAATTTTCTCCATGACATTTGTTCCACAAAAATTTATTGGGGGTACCTTCATGTATATTAGCACACTTACTCGTATGAAGTGTAGTAGGCCCGCATCTCTAGATATGATCCCGTCAACATCTGTTCTTTGTTCCTCTCCTGAGTTTGCAAACCAGAATGCCTTCATCATCCACTGTAGAGAGGCATCATCCTACATGAGAGAAAACAAAGTAGGTACATGTACTTCAATTAAAAACTGATACTGATGGATACATATCAACCATAATACATCCTATAAACAGACTTTTATCAATCTTATTTTGTGTTCTTCTTCATCTTCATTGCTCAAGAAGTGAAAGTACCCCTTACAAAAAAAAAATGAGGGGTCCTG